CATTTAAGTCTTTTAATTCATTTCTAGATGATTTTTGTATATGGAGTAAGATAAGAGTCCAATTTCATTTTTCTGCATGTGGATATCCAGTTTTCATAGCACCACACCATTTATTGAAGAGTTGCTTTCCACATTGTATTCTTTGCATCCTAGGTGAAGATCAGTTGACTCTCAATGTATAGATTTATTTTTGGGCACTCTATTTTGTTACGTTGGTCTGTGTGTCTGGTTTCATTCAGGTACCATACCTCTTTGATTACTGTAGCTTTGTAAAATATTTTTAAATGAGGAGTATGATAACTCTCCAACTTTGTTTTTAAGATTGCTTTGACTATTTAAGATTTTTTTATTGTTCTATATTAATTTTAGGATTGTTTCTTTTCTATTTCTGTAAAGAATACCATTGGGATTTTGATAGGGATTAAATTGACTCTGTAGGTCTATTCATGTGGTATGGATATTTAAACAATACTAATTCTTCTAATCCATGAACACAAGATGTCATTAGATGTCTTTCCATTTTATCTGTGTCTTCTTTGATTTTTTTCATCAATATATTACAATACTGAATGTACCAGTCTTTCACTTATTTGATTAAGTTTATTCCTAAGTAACTGATCAACAGATCAGTTAATACCAATTTGCTGGTGAGTACATGTGGTGCTTATTTTTCCATTCTTGGGATACTTCACTTAGAATGGGTTCCAGCTTTATCCAGTAAAATACAAGATGTGCTATATCATCATTGTTTCTTAGAGCTGAATAGTACTCCATGGTATACTTATACCCCATTTTATTAATCCACTCATGAATTGATGGGCACTGGGGTTGTTTCCACATCTTTGCAATTGTGAATTGTGCTGCTATAAACATTCAAGTGCAAATGTCTTTTTTATAGAATGTCTTTTGTTCTTTTAGGTAGATGCCCAGTAATGGGATTGCTGGATCAAATGGTAGATCTACTTGTATCTCTTTAATGAATCTTTAGTGAGAATGGCCTTTATCAAAAAGTTCCAAAACAATAAATGTTGGTGTGGATGCGGAGAGATAGAAACACTCATACACTTCTGGTGGGACTCACATTCCTTTTTGATTCCTTTTTGACTCAGTGGTTATTCAAGAACGTATTGTTTAGTTTCCATGTACACTAGTCCCCCCTTATCTGAGGGGGATATGTTTTAAGACTCCCAATGGATGCTTTAAGCCACAGGCATTACCAAACTCTATATAAGCTATGTTTTTTCCCTATACATATATAGCTATGATAAAATTTAATTTATAAATTAAGCATAGTAAAAGATGAACATCAATGACTAATAATAAAACAGAATAATTATAACAATATATTGTAATAAAAGCTGTCACATACTGTGGTTGTAACTTTTGCAGTTTGAGGTGCAGCAGCAAAACTTGTATGAATTTATTTTTCTTTTACAATTTTATGGATAAAAGATCCATTTTTCTGAAGATATTAGCAATCCGAGCATGCAATTTTTTTGTTTCTTATTAAATCAAGAACTTTTTTACCTTTGCACTTAAAGGATGCACTTTAAGGGTTCTTTTTGGCATATCTGAATCTCCAGCATCACTACTCTTGCATTTTGAGATAATTATCAAGTAAAATAAAAGTGACTTGAACACAAGGAGTGCAATACCATGACAGTCAGTACGACAACTGCAATGGCTACTAAGTGACTAATGGACATGTAGACTATACAGCATGAAGGAATGATCCACGTTCCAGGCAGGATGAGGTGGGACAGCACAAGATTTCATCATGTGGCTTAAATTTATGAATTAGTCATTTCCTGAACAAACCAATAACAAATAAGAAGAGTGAATCAGTAACTAAACCTCACCACAAAGAAGCTCAGGACCAAATGGATTCATGAAAAATTCTACCAAATAGTTCTCATGTTCATCATTTCTTCTCTTGTTGTCTTCCTTCATGTTTTGATGGTTTTAGTGGTGTGCTTGGATTCTTTTTTCTTTGTCTTTTTTGTATCTATTGTATATTTGGGGGGGAGGGCGGTTTACCATGGAGTTCACATAGACTGTTTTATATTTATAGCAGTCTATTTGAAGCTGATAACAACTACAATCACATGCAGATACTCTACACTTTTCTTTCCCCATATGCACTTTATATAACTGATGTCAGATTTTACTTTTCTATATTGCGTTTACATTAGCAAAGTCCTGTGGTTATCTTTATTCTGACTACTTTTGTCTCATAATTTATGTATTAGTGTTTAAAGTGATTTGTGTGCACCATTACAGTATTACAATATTCCGTGTTTAGCTTTGGCAATAAGATTTATGCTTTCATTATGTTTTTTAATGTCTTTTCATTTCAACTTGAAAGACTTATTTTAAAACTTCTTGTAAAGCAGGTCTATTATGAAAGACTTCCTAGTTTTTGGCTGGGAAAGACTTTTATATCTCCATCTTTAGGATAAAGTATTGTTGGTTGACATTTTTTGTCCAGTACTTTGTATCATCTCATTTTCTCCTGACCTGCAAGGTTTCTGCTGATAAATCCACTCATGGTCTTATGAAGGTTACCTTGTATATGACAAGTTGCCTTTCTCTTGCTGCTTTCTAAATTCTCTCTTAATCTATTACTTCTGACAAACTCTAATGTTTGAGATAAACTATAATATGTCTCCATGTAGCCCTCTTTGGGTTTAATATATTTGAAGATCTTAGGACTTCATGTTTGTTTCTTTCTGTTGATTTGGGAAGATTTTTGCCATTTTTTATTTAAATAGGCTTTCTGCCCCTTTGTTTGATGGTGTTCCATAAGTCTTCATAGCCTTTCTTCACTCTTTTTCACTTTTTTTTTTTTTGTTTTTACTTTTCTAACTGGTTAATTGCAAATGGATTGTGTCTGAGTTCACTTATTCTGTTTGAAGCTCTCTATTTGACATTTTCTGTGCAGTCATTATATTCTTCAGCTCCAGGATATCTGTTTGGTTCTTTCTTATTCCTTGTATTTCTTCATTAAATGTCTCATTTTGTTTAGGTATTGTTTCCCTGATTTTGTTTAATTTTTAAATCTGTGTTCCCTTGAAGCTCATTTAGCTTTTTTAAAGATAATTATTTTGGATTCTTTTTAAAGAAATTTATGACTCTTCACTTCTTTGGGGTTGGTTATTGGAGTTTTATTAATTTCTTTTGGTGGTATCATGTTTGTCTTATTCTTTGTGATCCATATAGGTTTGTGTTCTTATATGTGCATTGGAAGGGACAAACATCTCTTCCAGTCTACTCCTACAGGTCTCTGGACTCATGTTATTGCCTCTTGGATCTCAGTCAAGCGGAGTTGAAGCCAGGTAACATGGCTGCTTAAGGATCTACAGCTGGGACTGAATTTGGGGGACCTACCACCAGGGCCATGGAGAGACATGTCTCCTGCCAGGTCCCTAGACAGGCAATACTGATTGCAGGCCACAGCAGAGGAGACTGGAGCCAGGTCACACGGCTACTTCAGTATCCACAGTTGGGCTGAGGTTAACAGGCATGTTACTGGGGACACAGATGTGTGTAGCTCCTCCCAGGAAATGGCAGATAGGACTGTTGGCAGGAAGGGAGCTATGCGATGCTGAGCTAAGTCCACAGCTCAGGGGTGGATTTCAGTCCACAGCTGGGACCAAAGTCTGTGAGCCTGCCACCAGGGTATGGGCCGGACTTCTCAAAGCATCTCTCCTCAGTCAGGGGCTTCTGGATTGAACCACCTTCTATTTGGATCCTAAAGCTCCTACAAAGGCACTTTTGTTCATGGATGATTGGCAAATCATGTTTTTCTGTGGACATTGTGAGCTGGAGACCTCCTATTCTACCATCTTGTTGATGTCACTCGCATTTGTGTGTTTACACATACCTGTAGGTTCCCAATCTTTAGATAATCTGTTTGGTGACACCTGGAATCTGTGATGTTCTAAAATAATTGCCATGCAAGTTACTTATTAAGAAATAGATGATGGCCGGGCGCTGTGGCTCACACCTGTAATCCTAGCTCTTGGGAGGCCGAGGCGGGCGGATTGCTCAAGGTCAGGAGTTCAAAACCAGCCTGAGCAAGAGCGAGACCCCGTCTCTACTATAAATAGAAAAGAAATTAATTGGCCAACTGATATATATATAAAAAAATTAGCCGGGCATGGTGGCGCATGCCTGTAGTCCCAGCTACTCGGGAGGCTGAGGCAGGAGGATCCCTTGAGCCCAGGAGTTTGAGGTTGCTGTGAGCTAGGCTGACGCCACGGCACTCACTCTAGCCTGGGCAACAAAGCGAGACTCTGTCTCAAAAAAAAAAAAAAAGAAATAGATGATAGGAAAAAACCTGTGCTCAACTTCTTGGGAAATTTGTAGGATAAAGAAAAGTCAGCTTTAAATATAAAAACTTTCTGCCATTAAAATATAACAGATGTAAGTGAAATTTTCTGTTTTTTGGGATAATCTGAATTGTTACTCCCCTCTCACAGTAACAACAATTATGTGTGATGGGGGATATTATGAAAATTTTTGACATTTGGAAAAGATAATTGTCCTGTGGTCCCTTTTTGTCTTAAAAAAAGGCTTTTTATTTTTGTGGGGTTTTTTTTGCTAAAAGAAAGCTGTCAACTTCTTCAACTGAAAACTTAGTTTTTAACATACATTTCAGTGAATAACTGAAAATTTAGTGTCTTATACCCATAAGAAATATCATTTGTGCTAAAAACTTTAGATGATTGAACATTCTCATGGATTAGACTAGTAATACAACTATTTTCCAGGCTATTATGATTTTGATCAGCTATTATGATTTTGTTCTTTCAGTAGTGTTGTTTCTTAGTGTGGAGAATGTTAGCATATTGCTATACAATCATGCATAAGGAATTAATGAGCTGCTGTTGTCTTTCTTCATAAGCACATCCACTTTGCTCATTCATCCGGTTGTTCAGCGAGGCAGAAGGGAGAGTGCAGACGTTCCTAATAATCGTGATTTGTTTTCTTTTTTCCAGCCATGCAATGATGGACCTACTTGTTGATCTTTGCCTTCAAAATCACCTGAATCCATCTCACCATGCCCTTGAGATCCGGTCTTCGGAAACCCAACAGCCTTTGAGTTTTAAGCCAAATACTTTGGTTGGGACACTGAATGTGCACACTGTGTTTCTGAAAGAAAAAGTTCCTGAAGAGAAGGTTAAGCCTGGCCCACCTAAGATGCCTGAGGTCCGTAGGTGCCTGTGTCTGAGTGTGCGGGAGATGCTGAGTAGGAGACGGTGTTGTTCTTCTTAGTACCACACACAGAGAGCTGTGGTTGAGGTTTCTACTTCTGTGCGAGGCAAAGCTAGGCACTCACAGTTTATTTTAGGGGACGGAATTTACAGAATTTAGTAATATGTATTGTAGTAACATCATTCCTTTATATAATATATTAGAGAATGGGAACTGCTCTAGAGCAGAGCTATCCATTAAAACTTTCTTCAAAGGTGGACATGGTCTATAATTCTTTATTTTCCAATAGTCCCGAGCCCGGGCACTCAGGCTGGGAGGGAGCACACGGCCTTCCTCTGCTGCTCTTCTGTTCAGTCCACGTTTGCTGTGACAAACTATGCAGCGTCTTACACTATTAAGGTGATCAATAAAGGCTGAATAAAAGGTAGCTGGATGAACTTCACATATTAAAGTTTTTGATGGACCACTTTATCTGTAGTCATTTAGACTCACCATTAGTCAAACTGATTGTTTTTTCTTTCTGATTATTACTGTGTGATATTTTTTAAAAAACAAAATATATTTCTTGCATAAAATGTTTTATATAGTGTGTATATATAAATACATGTAAGTTTGTGTACATACACAAGTATACATAGATACATATGTATATAGATATTCATAGATTTATGTGGCTATTTTGGCAGCTTAAACAAAAAATTGATATCATGTTTTTTGTGGGTTTTTCTTTAAATTAAATTATCCATACTACTTCCAAGCCATTTTCCTTTAGAAAGTGTATATAAGTGCCTTGTGTTCATGTCTGGCCAGAATCCTTGAAAGATGGCACATGTACTGGATTTTAAATTTAGAGCCCTCACTGATGCTCATTTCCCTATGTTGTTAGCAGCTTGTTCATTAGTAAAAGGGTCTACGATAAACTTGTCATTCGGACATTTATTTTCACTATTTGTTATGCCATTTTCCCTTCTGACTCACTAAATTTGTAGAAGAAAGATTCAGGCTACACAAAATCCTGCCACACTGAGTTCTAGAATTAACACAGAAGTTGAAGCCACTGGGGAAGATGTGCTTATAGAATTCTCTTTGTCTGTATTCTTCTAGAAATCTGTGCGTTTGGTAGTGAATTACCTGCGGACACAAAAAGCTGTCGTGCGTGTGAGCCCTGATGTGCCTCTCCAGAATATTCTCCCAGTCATTTGTGCAAAGTGTGAGGTCAGCCCAGAGCACGTGGTTCTCCTGAGGGACAACATTGCCGGGGAGGAGCTGGAGCTGTCCAAGTCGCTGAGCGAGCTCGGGGTAAAGGAACTCTACGCCTGGGACAACAGGAGAGGTGAGGCATGCTGTGTCTTACACACTCCGCCCTGTACGCATGCGGGCGCGCGCGCGCGCGCGCGCGCACACACACACACACACACACCACGCGGCATGCGCAGGTGACTGTTAACTGTCCTCGCGGCTCTTGTTAGCTCCAGGGAGAGATGGGGATGTGAATTTCCAGGCAACTCCAATTTTGTCCACACCAGTGTTGATGTAAGCAAAATAGAAAGTTCGTTTTCATTCCTTTCGATTGTCATTCTGCCTCTTTGCCCAGGTCCTGAATATGTCCTTCCCTCTTTGTGTCCCTGCACACTGTTGTGAGATAAGTAAAAGGAGGGAGGGGAGGAAGTAAGAAGAGATTAGAATTTATGCTCTAAAATAACTATTCAAAACCCTTGACTTTCCTTTTCGATTGCCATTAGCTGCTCCCAGGTTTTAGACATTGCTCATATCCAAAACCAGTGGCAAAAGGCATTTAGCTGTCCCCTAAAACCAAACAACTGCAGTCCATGAAATCAATCCCTGAAAACAACTTTAGTGCCACCTGAGGTTTTCTTGCCTTTGCTGCTAGGGACAGCTCACTCATGGTGTGGATCTGGTGCTTGGCTTGAGGTCACAGTTAGAGTCTCTGGTGAGAGTGGTGGCCCCATCGGCCATGTTGGTACAGAGCCTGGCATGTTGTGTAAGCAAATTCTTCTGATTGATACAAAGGGCTGACCATGTGTTTAAATGACTGTCTGGCAAAAGAAAATTTATGTTTCTTGAACTTAATTTATTAAAATGGACTTCATAAATGTTTCTATTTTACTGAGCCCCAGTTGATATCTTGTCTCTGTTTTATCTATTCTACAAATATTGAATAGCTTGGGCTTTTAAAATGTGTACAAATCCAAGTTTTTCATGTTTTTCTATAGCTTTTATTCTAACTTCTTCCAATAAAAAATGTATTTCTTTATTACCAAATTATCATGAATCCACAACCATAGTGGAATGCCTGTGCAGTCTGCCCCTCTCCCCTAGTCAGCCCATTTCCTCCTGGCAATCTGGGCCCTAGATCTGATTTGACATTCAAAAGAGGGTTTAGCTCCATTGAGTTTCAGATACATGGACTGTTTGTCCCTTTAAAGAAAAGTACTCTGACATTTGTGAATAATGCATCTTGTGTTTTATCCAGTATCCTTGTAAGAGATAGACAAAAATACTCTGAGCATCACCACAGACAACAGGCTGGGTTGCCGTGGGTGTGTCTGTCTGGGTGGATCAGCCCTATTTACATTTGGTGTACAGGACTCTTTGGAAACAGGTTTCATTTGGTAAGACAAAAGAAAAGAAAAAAGAAAAAAACCTGTCCCATATTTAGGTATCTGAAAGGGAAAAGCTTACACAAACAAGTGTTTCTGTTATATGCTGACACTTGGACATACCTTGAAAGGTAGATTGAACCTGCTTCCTGGGAGAAGTCACATAAAACCTGCATCTCTGTTGCAGAAAGGCCCCAGGGAAGCAGGACAGAGCCTCTGAACACAGTGGCGCAGCCACCATGGCCATTCAGATTTGCAGCACTTCTGCCCTTGGTGGAAACGAGCTGCTCCCACAGTCCCATCCCCACTGCCTTGGGCATCCTGGCCCTCCCTTTCCTGCCCCCAGACCCCATGCATCTTTCTGCTGTGGGTGTCTGGCCAGCCCTGTGGCCAGCACCCCTTTGATCTGGACCACGCCTGTGCCTGGCCGGGCGTGACACGTGTGCTCACATCCCTGCCAGGTGCCTTCACCCCATGCTGCTCTCTGTCAAACACTGGGGACACAAGGAGACTGGTCCAGAGTACATCCCTGAGGACACTCGCTCCTCAGCTGACATGGGCAGCCTGCTGGGAGCTGCAGGAGGAGCCCCTTCGTTTGCCCTCTTGGTTTACACTTGGAGGGGAAAGGCAGCCCCTACTGAGCCTGACAGCTGCTGGCGAACGGGGCAGCTGGCAGGGGAGAGGCACTGCTAGGCAGGGCTGCCTTTCTCTGGAATCACTGGCAGTGGCAGCCTGACAAAGCCAAAGGCTTTGCTGCCACCTATGTCCAGGGTGGCACTTAGCAGGCGGTGCAGCTGTGCCCTGGGAGGGCAAGCCCAGAGATGAGGGCATGCCCTGCAGCAGGCCTTCTCATGTGGCCATCCCCCCACGTGAAGCTTGTAAGGGGCCGAGGCCTGGGTCAGGGGTCTGCAGAGCTCCAGGCTGGTCCTCATGCTCCCCTTGCCTGCCTTTTCCAGTTCTTCTGACCAAAACTCAGTCCGAGCCTTCCCTGAGCTGTCAAGGTACAGTGTGTCCAGGTCTGTCCGTGCCCCTGCGAGGCTGTCCTTTGCATGGCTCTGAGCTAGGAGATGCACGGAGCTGAAGTCTGCATGCCAGACCTGGCGGAATGCAAGCCTGGCTTGGAGTACCTCAGGGGTGCTTGCCAGGATGACAGCAGGTTATGGTTTGGTTTCCCGGTCCCTGGTTGGTTGGTTCAAAGAATGCTGCTGGTGTGAGAATTTGCTGTGTGGCTCTAATTGGTAAAAAATTAGGAGACTATTGTAGAAAACAAATTCTATTGCCCAGAATTTTATGGCAGGCTGAAAGTGGTACATGCAGAAAAGACACCATTTCCTTTCTCTCTCTGTTTGCCTGGCTTACCTGTATTTATCTGTTCTTCCCTACCTGAAGTCATCCTGCATGCTGCAGAATTTTGGGCCGTGTGGATTTTGAAATTTAACTTTTTGTGTCATAGATAAGTATGCAAATGTCTAACATCTATTAATTGGAAGTTTTTTCTCTCTTTTTCTCTCTCAATATCTCTGTATGTGTATATTTATAGATATGTAGAGACACATATATACATATATACTTATACATGCACACATATGCATTAAATACATCCATATATACACACACAGAAATAAATATATACTTAAAAGCTTCATTAAAATCCCTATGAGTCTTTGTACTTTAGACTCATTGGGCGTGGTTTTATATGTCAGAAAGTATTGTCCATGCTTGTTAAATATTTACCAATAGATTCTATTTCCAGAAAAAAATATTTAATGAAAGAAACCTCAGCATTGGTCTGGACAGTCTGCAGGTGGGGTTTCAGGGAGTGCCGTGGCCTGGGCCACCCTCAGTTGTCCTTGTCGGCTGTTGCTCTGCCCTGTCCCACGGCACAGCAGTGAAAAGATAAGCATTCTCTCTTGAGAAACAGCATGGAACGGCAGCCATTTTGAGCAGAAACACACATAAATGAAGGCTCTGCCAGTTCTGGTGATTCTGTGAGGATTTGGCTGAGAACGGGGGAGAAGGTGGATTAGGGTCACTCCTTTATCCCCTGTGCACTTGCAGTCTCGTTATGGGACTGGAACCAAACCCGTGTCGTGAGAATGTCCCCGCCATGCGTCTGCAAGCGCTGACATGGTCATCCTCTTCCATTTACTTGCTTGGTGACCTTGTTCTGGTCACTGGATTGCTCATTTTCAGTTTCCTCTTCTGGGCAGTGAGTGGTTTGAACTAGGGACCTGTAAGGGTTCCTTCATCCTTCTCCACCTGCACACCCCTCGGTTCCCCTTTATCATGCTTCGAAACAGTGCTCCCTTAGTGCTACAGCTGTGAACCCCAAACTTCTATTAATGTTTACTTTCTTACACATCAGAGGAAATTCAAACAAGATAAATGTCATGCTCAACCCACCGCACACTGGGACCTGGGCATTCTCCATCTCAGCTGCGGGTGCCCTGCGGCCTGGCTGTGTAGCAGCTGCTGTTGCTGCTCTGACTGCGTAGCCAGGCATCCTGGGAGGTTTTGGCTGATGCCAGCACTGAGTCACCTTATTAATACTTTGTTCTTAAACCAATTCTTCTGGCAAACCTCAGGGGTGTCAGAGGAAGTCTCTATCAGTCAGTGGCAAAGGCTTATGTCTAAAAATAGGCCTTCTGTCTTAGGCCGCCCTCAGAACTCTGAGTCGTGGGCTCCTGCTGTCTGCAGACACCTGCAGACTATAATAGCTGCGTGAGAAATGTCTCTCCTGCTATCAGGGGACAGCTCTGGTGCCAGGGCTGTCCCTGGCCCTCGTTGCTGGGGCCAACCTCAGTGCTGTAGGGGTGGTGACCAGAAGAGTCTCACTTTGTCATTTTTGTGGTCAATGTAATATAGCTTGTGTACCAGCAAACATGCTCTGTCTCTTGTTATATCCATGTCATGTACCACTCAATTCTAAAACCATTATAGGTTATAAGGGTACATATGAACGTGTGCTATAGTTTGAAATTTAATTCTGTGGTATGGTATATTTTACTCTTTATAGCTCCATACCTAATAGAGGGTTTTGATCCAGCTAACTTTGAAATGAATGTGTACACGTGTCTGAGAGCTGCATCACTTTGAGGTGTGTGCCCTGGTTTGGATGCTGTGTGAGGTGGGGCTCTCCCAGCTCCTCCGCTGGAGCCTCTTGCATGTCCCTGAGCCCTGGCCCTGGGACTGCAACAGGAGCCTTCGCCCTACGGCGCGGTTTAAGGAACACATGCACTGGGTTCTTGCTTTGCCGGACGGACACTGTCAGTGTCCGTGCATAGGTTACCAGTGACTGACTTTCATGTCTGTTCTATAACTCAAATCTGAAATGATATTAGCAGATGAAGAAGTTAATTGATGCTTACCTCATTTGGGCTGATATTCTGCTGGCAGAGTTTGTAAAACCCTAGCCTGGGAATCTCCCACCAATTGAGTGAGTTCCGGCTCTCCAGCGGTTGGCAGTGACGTGGGAAACCCATTTTTCTGCCCTCCGGGAGCACTCACATTTTCCCCCGTTTGTCATGTCCGTATGCCTTGGAAGAGAAGAACTGAGTGAATTGCTGGTAAAGGTCAGGAGTGGCTTCTGAGAGCCAGTACATGCGTGAGACAGTAGTCGTGCTGCAGCCGTGTGCATGGGCACGGGCTCCGAGCACTGTCCCTGGTGCCAGCTCAGTCACGCCGGTCTGCAATGAAGGCACTGAGGCTCAGCGAGGCCGAGCATTGCCCGGGGATGCCCACACACGTGTGCTCCTGACCTCCCACCTCTGCTCCCCAGCCCTCAGCCTGGCTCCCTGGGCCTTATTCACCCGCACGGCACGGCCTGCCCCTGGGATTCTGGGATTCTGGGATTCTGGGATTCTGCCTGGAGATGCGGAGGGGCCAGGGACCCGCATCGCTCAAGTTCGGTGATGCTGATGCTGCGGGTCGCATCTTGCTTTGGGAACCTCAGCCCTGGCTGTCTTGGCGGCTGGCCGACCAGTCTGGGCTCAGTGTCCTTGTTCCACCCTGAGAGGGCCCAGCTTGACTCCAAAATCCTGAAGAAGGAAACACCAAGAAAGGGAGGTTGAGGTTTGAGAGAGAGAAGAAGGAGGAGGAGGAGGAGGAAGGGAGGGAAGGAGACAACAATTGCCCCACTAGAGAATGTAATTGAAAAGGAAAACAGTCTGGATGCAGTAGAGGAATGAAAACCTGGAAATGTTGTTCCTGGGAGATCGGATTTGATTATTTCAGATGGCACCCGGGTAGTTAGTCATCGCTGTTATTCTTGTTCTGGAAATGAGCAGGAAGGTTGCTGATCTATTTTGTGGAGTTAGTGTTTGTACCTTACTCATTAGTCTTAAAGCAGATGTTTTGCCCTGATGTCACAGTCCTTAGAACTGTGCTGTCCAATCCGGCAGCCACGGCCACAGGTGGCCAGTCCTTGCTAAGATGTGCTGGATTTGAAGGCCCAGCACCAACACCAGTGCAAAATACCTTGTCAGTAGCCTTCATGTTGATTAATGATAGGACAATATTTTAGATATATTGGATTAAATGAAATTATCATTACAATTAATTTCACCTAGTTCTTTTTAATGCCACTGCTGGAGAATGTACAGTTGCATCTGCGATTCTCTTTAGCTTTCTGTTGCACAGTGCTGCTCTGGAACTTTGGCTGACTTATTTGTTTCTTCATTCTCCAAAAGGGCACGGCCACACCCAGAGAGGAGGCCCATAGTCACTGCCAGTCGGCGTGAGGGCTGCGGCGACGTCCTGAGTGGGCCTTCGGGTTTCTGGGTGGCTCAAAAGCTTGGAAAGAAATAGCTGATGATTTTCCTCTCTTATAAGAACTAGAAGTTTAAGAGTAGAAGGTTCTTTTATTAAGATTTTTAAAGTGAAGTGCTTAATCTCTTGTTTGAAATGCTGAAAAATAACTTAATACTTTTTTTTCCAGAAACCTTCAGAAAATCATCACTTAGCAATGATGAGACAGATAAGGAGAAGAAAAAATTTCTGGGATTTTTCAAAGTGAATAAAGGAAGCACTAGCAAGGTAATGGATTAAATACACATATGTCTTGGTATCATGTAAAAATAATTTCATGAGATATTTGTATTCAACCTCTCTTGGAATTTTTCTAAATAATTATATTCAGGAATATTGATTCCTTCAGGAAAAGGGAGCTTATTGGTATCACTCAAATAGCTGACTGTGCTTCCGTGCCTGAGCCTTGAATTAGTTATTCAGTGGCAGCTTGCAGCAGCATGTGATAGCATGCGACTCACCTGCAGGACGCACAGCCGTGGGCTCCTGGCAGGCGGGGCTGTGAGCCCTTGTGCCTGACAGCGACATGGGACCGCACACGTGCGCGATACTCAGTAGCATCGTATGGCAGGTGCATGGGCGAGTGCATGTGACAGTGAAGTTTAAATGCAATAGCCAGTATTGCTGCAGATGAACTGCAGTTTCAAAGCTTATTAGACATATAAAGCCTTGAGGGGCTAGACATAAGGCTACTTTGAGGAGAAAAGTTGGCAAACTGGTCCATTTGCCAGTAATTTTTAGGTGTTCTTTGGTCCTCCCACTATGATCAGGGAATATACCACATAATTAGTTAATTTAATTGATCTTTTTGGTCTTTATTAAACATATCTCAAAGTTTTAGATACAATGTTGCATAGTAATTTAAAGTCATAGTACACAGAATAAAAATAAAGATTTTTATAATTAGTCATGAGATTACCAAAATCATAAGTGCCTTCTAACTACCAAGAAAGGAAAGTGCTCTATATCCCTAATATATTTGTTTAACAAATGTATTTTGCTAATATATAGTATTTTTTCCATCCTAATAAATGACACTAAAAGAAGACAAAACTATTCCAATGAATGTTAGGCTTTAACGCCATTAGATGGTTTGGCAGTGGTCCCCATCTGTATGGTCTCAGAAGAGGCGTGCGGAACAGCAACTGCCGTCTGCCCGGGAACCTCTGGAGCACTGCCTGCTCCCGCCTGTGCCCAAGGCGGGACGCCCCCTTTCCCGACCTTCCGGAGCCTGGGCTGGAGGCTGTGCTGTGGGAAGTGATTCGCCCCAGGTTTGCCGATGAGGATACCAGAGCTCAGAGAAATGCAGTGACTGGCCGGGGTCCCAGGCTTCGCCCCAGGCCTGACTCCAAGCCGGGAAGGGGAGAGGGCGGCGGGAGAGCCACAGGGGAGGAAGGTGCGTGCGGCTCAGCCGGTGGAGAGGGACAGACAGACGTCCTGCCTTTCAGAGTTTTGCACAGATCTCAGCTCATTTTTTCCTTACCTTTCCCGATGCTTTGATAATGGTTTTATGATTCTCTTGCATTTATTACTGATCGTGTGTGCGTCCTCCTGTGCATCCGTGTGTCCTGTGGAAGATCTGCCCTCAGCGCGCATCTCTGTGTGAGGTCTTTTGGGCTCTGACCTTTCCCTCCCCTCCTCTCCTCACCTCCTTTCTGTGCTTTTCCTTTCCTGTCAGGACTACTTGAAATTACAGAGTCAGAATTTTGTGTCTGAGTTCTCCATCGCTGTGTGAATGCTGTTGTTGCTGTCCTGGAGTGGCTGGACCAGTCTGTCGGGGCTGCATTCGCCCTTGTCCTTGCTCCACCGACACCCGCTCACAGCAACGCCCACCGTCCTCCTTCCTCACACCGAGACCTGAGTAGAGTAGTTGGTCTTGCGTCTTCTTCCTTCTGACGCTGCAACTGCCAGCAAAACAAGCAAACCATCTTCGCAGTGCTTTTGTTTTAAGCAAAACGGGGCAGGCTGCAGAGCTGGGCTTTGCAGAGGCTCTCACTTCTCAGAGAGGCAGGGCGGCACACGCCACACACCCTGGCAGAGCGAAAATGTTGCCAGGCACCAAGTCTAGCTGTTGATTATGAGGGACTTTTCTGTCTTTCTGCTACTGTCTACCTAAAGAAAGAAACTGAGATGGAATTAATGCAGAGGGTGTATCTGGGCCAAGGCTGAGGACAGCTGCCAGAGACACACTTCCAGCTTGTCTCCTTGTGGGGTGGGGGTGCTCTGCCTGGCCTTTGCTGTGCGGGTTTTGAAGGAGTGGGACAAGGCACGGGCTGGTACAAAGTCGTTTCACGGGAATTCTCCCAGGTTTACAGAAATAACACTGGTTAGAGATTCGTGGTACATTGTTTGAGTCTAGCAGCAGCCCCAATCTTTTGGGCACCAGGGACTGTTTTTATGGAAGACAATTTTCCCATGGACCAGGGAGGGGGTTATGGTTTCAGTATGGGTCAAGTGCATTACATTTATTGTGCACTTTATTTCTATTAGTATTACATTGTAATATATAATTAAGTAATTGAATAAGCACCATAGGTTGGGGATCCCTGGACTCTAGGGCATGAGTTAGACTGGCTGTCCAGTGCATGGCATTTTATAGCTGCTTGGCCTCAGCTAGTCTAGAGTACACACCACAGGTAACTAGCTGCAAGAGGTAATCACTTAACTCAAGGGAGAGCAAGGTCTGACTACTGTTGCATTTCAGTGCCTCTCTGAGCCTGCTAATTAAAGCGGGTTTGCAGTCCTCACATAAAATGTTTCTTTTCTTTTTCATTTCCCTCTTCTGATCAAAAATAGCTTCTATTGTTTGTCTATCTTTATTTCTTTTCTTTCTTTTTGAGACAGTATCTCACTCTGTCACCCAGGCTGAAGTACAGTGGCACCATCATAGCTTACTGCAGCCCTAAATTCCTGAGCTCAAGCCATCCTCCCACTTTGGCCTCCCAAAATGATGGGATTGCAGGCATGGGCCACCATGCCCAGCCTAAAAAAATCTTTTCTCTTGAAGGCATTGATGTACAAAGCCTGAGTGTCAAGCTGTCCCTCGTCACTGGGAAGGCTCATTCCTGGATAGTCCTGTCTCATGTCTGGGGGAAGGAGGAGGTGTCTTCGTGAGGGATTTTAAGAGTGCCTAAAAGCTGAACTGGACAGCACCACAGAGGCACAGAACGAGACCTCCATCAAGTCACTGATTTACGTAGCTGCTACTGCTTGTTGAATCATCTCTAGTCTTCAGGATACCGTGATTTTATTTTTCTTGGAAGAAGCAGGACAATGAGAGATCAATACCCTCAATAATTCAAATTTAGTAGAAATATAACACACACAATGATTATGATCACAAAGGGAGTTTGCATGCCAGAACAAAAGGAAAACCTGTTCCATTAGGGAGCCAACTATGAAGAGCATGAAGAAAATTTAATCCTTGTTCTTCTTTAGAGACTTGGAGCCAGAAAATAATTCAGGATTCAGTCCAAATTATAGGTAAATAATAAAAACTAGAAAACAATGGTCAGGGCTAGAATCTAGTAACAGGTGTTGAAACAGACTTTTTCTCTCTCCGGTCCATCTAATTTTACCAAAGATACATCGTTATAAAGCTAATTTATTTGTAAAATGAGTTTTAGATTTCTTGTATTTCTCCTGGTTGTTCACATACATCGCAGCAAGAGGAGTGGCCATGTAAGTAGTGGCTTTTCTGAAACTTTTTCATAAGAACTTTCAGATTAGAACTTTAAAAGCCTCTCAAGGTTAGGAAGTGAAGTCAAAGGTAGACTATCAGACTGTGCCTGTAATATCTGTCTCAACTGAGTGAATTTTTCTCTTCTCAAGGTCCCCAAACATCATGAAGTTCCTGGGCCTGTCAGGAGGGACATTCTTTATTTAACACAAGTCAGGAACCCTGTGGGGAGCCACATAGACAAGGTACCAGGCTGCTATTTTCCCAAGTCTCTTGGCTTTATAAAGTCAATACAGTCCCTCAAAGCAGTCTGTCTGGTCATATGTGAGAATATGCCATTCCAGTCAAAGCCTTAGTAAGATAATGTGTTTCCAATGTGTCCTGTTACAAAAAGAAAATGGATTCTTACACAAGTAACTATATTGCCATAAAATGAGAATACTTAATGAATAGTTTCTGAATTCTGGAGAAATCAGATAGAGATAAAGTAAATGTCTCAATTTGTTTACATAAATATAATTTACGCAATTGCTGCAAGCTACAAATAGCTCAAAAGATAAATAAAAAGTTTTCTTGACTCTGAAAACTTTTGTTTTAGAAAACAAAACATAAAAAAAACCAGCAATGCTTGAAACAAAAAGAAGTTATAAAAGATTATTTCGGTTCTATCAGTTATTTTTTTACCATGTAATTAGCATGTAATTAACTTTTGTTCTATTAATACTTGAGGTCAGGTTAGCAATCTTTATGAAACCATCAGTTTTTGGGGATGTTCTTTCTGGAAATTTTTGCCTTGTCCAATGGTAGGATCGCGAAAATTATCAGAAACCTGTATTCAAGAGCACTTGTCATGGTCTTTTCCATGAATTTCCTTAAAGACAGAACACTTTAAGATTTACAGAGAGCTTTTAGAAAAAAAAAGGCATCAGAATAAAGCAATTTATTGCTGATACCAATACATATCAGATTTTTAGGAATCTCATACACTTTTGGAACGTGTACTACTAACATATCCATACAAATATAACCCAAAGAAAGTTAAACACCATTTCTTATTTGACAGTGCTTCCTGTATGATTTCAACATAACAGATAAGCCTAATATGCTTCTCTTGAACTTCCAGGGGCCCCATTTTGATTTTGGGGGGCCCCAATGTCTAAAAGTTAGTTTAAGGTAAAAAAAATGTAATTTAGAATTTGAAATTTAGTTTTGGGAATTTTGAAAAATATGAAAGGTTTAAAACATTTGATTTCAAAATAGAATCATAGGTCACTGTAAAATAATATTCATCTATCCAAAGTAATAATCCAAAGACTTCAAAAAGCAAAAGCTTTTACTCTTTGTTTGAGAGGAATCTGTCTCTTTATCTTTCCCCTTTTTTCTTTTTGTTTACTCAAAGGATAAACAAAAATCTTTACTTTCTCTTCTTAATCCTATATGAAAATTTTGTTCAAAAGAGAAAACCAAATTTTGCTGTTATATGTGTATTATCAATAATAAACCTAATTTTAATGAAACCTTATAAACAGATCCATCCAATCCAACCTTTCACTGCAGAAGATAAGATTTCTATAAGCCTTTTATAACCTTTTACAACTTTTTTCTAGCTTTCTCTACCCATTTTTTTATCTATCATTTGTTTAATTCCTTCCATTTAAAACAACTTTAAATAACCTTTAAACTTGGTAACATTACTTTCCCTTTAACAAAAATCCACATTTTTATGTCTTTTACAATCTTTTTAAATCAAAAACACATCTTACTTTTCTTATATACTTTGCATACAGAATTGTTTCTCTTCTATCTAGGTTTAATTAAATATATTAATTGCAATGTTAACTCTTAGTAACCTTGATATTTACTGAAAATTGTAGAAATAAGCAATTTTAATTGTTAGTCCCAGATGCAGAGCCCAGGACAAAGGATAGAACTGTGAATACAATACCTGGAGGACTGGTCCTTCCCAGTATGGCCAGGAGTTGCAGCTGGGCCAGGGAGGACTTTCGGGCTCGGCTCTCCCCTGTGGCTGTTGGACCAGGTGCTGTGCACACACACGTGTCCCCCGGCCTTGCTGTGGCCCTTTGTCTAGACCCCAGAATCTAACGGCTCAAAACCTAGCTGGGACATAAGCTCACAGACAAGCAAGTATCAAAAATGTCACGGAAACAACAGTTTTATGACCTAAAACATCTAATAGATGTAGATCCAGGCAAAAATGTCTGAATTAAATTCTGAAAGGCATTTTTATTTCACCAACAATTTTAAAACTAGTTTTATTTACCAAAGATTGCTAAAGTCATGTGAACTTGAAAAACATTTGTGTTTATTTACTTAATTTATGAGTGTACATTTAGTTATAAGTCAATTTGGTACATGTAGACAATATACAAACACAGACATGCACACATCCATACATAAAAATACAAGCATAAAGATTTTATAGCTTTGATTTTAAAATTTTAGCCATGAGTCAGATAAATTTCAGTAATTCAAAAGGACATTTGGATTCAAACTGTGCCTTTTTAAGTAGAACAAGTTGAAATTTATCTGTCTCACATGGCCAAAGAACTTACTGAGTTTTAGGGAACAAGGTAGCAAATTTATACTTCAAAGTTGAGGGAGTTTAAGCTTTCCACAAGGCCATTGAAGTTTCACATTATCCTTGGCAAAAATCATGTCCTCAAAAGAGAAGAAGACCAAGGGAATGTTAGCAAGGGTTTAAGAAGAGAGAAATTCAGTCAACTGAGAAGATTTTATAGTGAACAGAAGCCTCAAAAAATATACACCTGTGTGCACGTATATCCTAGATATCAGCTTTTAATTAGGTATCCACTGAGGAAAGGAATTTTGTGGTGTGTCTGAAGAAAGTTAACGATGTCTCAACTGTGTTTGACTGTAGGGCTCTTTATAAACATCCTTTCTAATCTCGTCAGATTTCAGCCAGGACACAGCCAATATTCCTGCTTTTATACTTCTTATTTTTTCCTCCTTTAAACCAAAGGTGCCTTTTCAGGTGACTCACCAAAGCCAATAAGCCTTAACCAAGGTTATGACTGACCAAGGACTCACTAGCCATCTCCAGAGAGATGCTGCACAGTCCTGACAGGATCCAGAACCATCTCAGAGGCAGCTAAAGGAAAGCTGTGCTCTCCTCGAGTGCAGTGTGGCCCCGTCTGGCCATACTCTCTAGGGTCTCAGCTTCTCGGCTGGCCATCTACACACAGTCCAAATGGAGGTTTAAAGAGACAGTTTGTAAAACAGGAAAACAAAAGCTGCCCATGAGGGTAGGGCCAAAAGGCAGGACAATGTGGGAAGGTAGATTTCTGGGAAGAGTGAAATCTGCTCCTAGATTCCCTGGCACTGCTGTCTCTGAGCAGATGTGAGCTTTGTCAAGGGCCTGTCCTTAGGTGGGAAAGGCAGGCAGGAAACCCTTGTGTTTGGAAATGGCTGTCCTGCCGTCAGACCAGCAAGGGAAGTGGCAGAGTGTCTCCCTGAACCTGCTTCAGTTTGATAGTGCCCAGTACTTTAGAGAGGGATATTTTGATTTTCTTTAGTAGAAAGAATTACAAATGGGTACCCCAAAAGGTCAAAACAAATAATTCATATTAATTTCTTATAAATGTTTCTCTCCTGAGCTAAAGGTATCCATTGAGGAAAGGAACTCTGTGGTGTGTCTAAAGAAACTTAACTGTCTTTCAAATATGATCTCAGCTGGAATGCTGCTTAACTAATTTTGGGGCTGTTAACATTTCAAAGATGTGGTAAGACTTACATCTCCAAGGCACTAAGAAAGTCCTGCAGACAATTTGGGCACTTAAAGGGTTTTAATAGGGAGTTAAAGGAAAGCTCTCTCTACAAAAAATCAAATTTCTGAAATTCAGAGCTAGAAAACTCACCCTCATTCATCTTTCAAGTTTAAAACTAACAGGAATTGGTTACACACACAAAAAATATTCTGAAATGCAAACAGTAGAAAGCAGCTGCATCTTTAAAAAATGCCATATAAAGTGAAGCTCTGCTGCCAACCTGCCACACCTTGGTCTGCACCTTTCTGCCAAGAGGCACAGGCTGGAAAGGCAGTTTTCCTTCCTCTCCTCTGAAACCCTAATCTCTGGCCTACGAGGCGGAGACAGAAGGCGAAAGTTGGAAAGAACAGCCCAGATAAAGTTCAGACGTCACTCAAAAGGAAAGAAGGGGTACAGATTCAATATTTCTCACCCTTTGCACCTGGTGACTTCTTTGGTGTTGGAGGGACCCAACGGGTCAGTGCTGGCTGGTACCTAGACCTGCGTGTGAGAGAGAACACTGCGTGGTCCTGGGTCACTCAGAATCCTGCCGACTTATGTGTAAGCCTGAAGAAAGAAACTGCCAATGGAAAAGAACCCAAACTCTGTAAAATAATTTTAAAAGATTTATTCTGAGCCGAATAGGTGTAACCATGGCCAGGAGAGCCATGCCCAAGAAGCCTGAGCTAGTGGCCTTGCCATGGCTGAGTCACAGTTTGGTTCTATACATCTCAGAGAGATGGGATCACACACAGAGTCAAACATCAGCACATGGAAGGCACGCATCGTTTGGCCCCAAAGGCAGGACATCTCAAATCAGGGCATTACAGGTTGTACGTGGGTTTAAAGGTTCTTTGATTTGTAATTGGTTAAAGAAATGAAGCTTTGTCTAAAGGCTTGGAATGTTTTAAGTTAAGATAAAGAGATCTGTTAATCAGAGACAAGCCACCCAACAGACACCAGACATATACCCAGACACAGGTGAATGTGTTAGGTCAACTGATGACCTGCAGCTGTGGTTGCAGCTTTGTCCTGCATAGCCTCAGGCCTGTTAGTGAGTGACAAAGGATATCTCCAGGAAGGTAGGGGGACTTGATAAGACATTTCTGACCTCCCTTCTCAAGGCCAACAACTCACCTTTAGGGTATTTCTAGGGTTCCCACAGCAAAGAGAGGGTCCATTCTGTCAACTGGGAGACTTAAGATTTTTAGTTCACAAAACTGAGGCCAAATTAATTTAGAGAGTTTATTTGGGCTAGGGTTGAGTACAACAGTCCAAAACAAAGTTCCAGGTTACCTTGGGAAGTGCTCCGTTTGGCCTTTATTACAGGCAGGTTTTAAGGGCAAAAGGGACAAGCAGTGGACTGACACAAAACTGTCTGGCAGGAATTCTCGCTGGGTACAGGAAAGCATTGGCCGGTGATTGGCTGTGCACTGAACTCTAGGGCGTGTGGCATTTTATAACTACGTGGTATTAGTTAGTCTAGAACCCACGTAGCAAGTGTCTTTAAGAGGTAATTAGCTCAAAGCAGAGTGATATGTGACTACTGTTATATTTTCAATGCCTCTCTGGGTTTGATAATTAAAAGGGGTTTGCATTCCTTAGATTAAAAAGTTTCTTTTTCACTGTCTTAAATCTGCTAGAATTATTTTTCATTTCCTGTATACCTCATTTTTCATGTATAACATTTCTTCTCATTTATTTTATTGTATTTCACCCAAACTCTATAAAACAATTAAAAGATTTATTCTGAGCCCAACAAGTGTTACCATGGCCTGGAGAGCCACGCCCAAGGAATCGTGAGCAAGTAGTCCCAAGGTGGTCAGGTTATAGTTTGGTTTTATACATTTTAGAGAGAAAGGAATTGCAGGTAAAATTATAAATCAATATGTTACTGAAAGTGCAGTACTTGTCCCTGTGGCTGAATGAATGAAGACAAGTGGTTTGAGGAGAAGGAAAGGGGAGTTTGTTAATTGGCTGGCAAATGAGAATGGCAGACTCGCATTTTAAAGTACCGGTTTCCCATCTACAAGCAGAAATACAGACCTTTTAAAAGGGGAGTTTTCAGTTTCAGGTGACTACTGTTCAACTCTAGTGGACGATTCTGGTCTATCCCATCGCCAGCCAAGACAATCTCATGAACTCTACCTGGACAATTTCCTTGAACCATCTCCTATGGTATAAATAACAACAGGACATTCTCCTGCCCCTCTAATTACTGCCGTTGGGCAGGAATATAGGTCTCAAATCCCAAAGAGAGTGAGGGAGGTTTTAAAGAGATAGCTCATAAAACATTGTTACTTCTTTTCAGGCTGTTTCACTCTGTTACAAATACATGATAGTTGTACATTGGCTTGGCGCAAAAAGGTGGGATGTCTGGAAGCAGGAGTTTCGTAGGTGGGTTTGAAGATTCCTTGATTTGTAGTTGGATAAATAAATAAAGCTTTGTCTAAAGGCCTGGCATGAGGTGGGCACGGTGGCTCACACCTATAATCCTATCACTTTGGTAGGCGGAGGCAGGAGGACCGCTTGAGCTCAGCAGTTAGAGATCAGCTTGAGCAAGAGAAAGACCCTGTCTCTACTAAAAATAGAAAAAAATAGCCAGATGGGGTGGTTCATGCCTGTATTCACAGCTACCTGGGAGGCAGAAGCAGGGGGATCGCTTAAGCCCAAGAGTTTGAGGTTTTTGAGCTAGGCTGACACCACAGAACTCTAGCCTGGGCAACAGAGCTGGACTCTGTGTAAAAAAAAAAAAAAAAAAAAGAAAGAAAAGAAAAAGAAAAGGCTTGGAATGTTTTAAATTAAGATAAAGAAGTTTGTTTATAAGAGACAAGCTGTAATATACGGACTCAGGTGATCTGTTAAGCAAATTGATGGCCTGCAGGTGATTTAACCTTTGCCCTGCAGGGCCTTAGGTTCTGTTAATAATTTAGGATCTTACTGCCCAAGGTGTGTTCCTCCTCCCTCCCTTTCTAGGCTGGGAACTCAGTGTTAAGTTTTTTTCGGAAATCCCCTAGGCCAAGAAGAGTTCTATGGGGTGGGGGGGGAGTTAAGATTTTAAGTTCACAATTTATTGGATTTGTTGTTTTTACATTAACTTCTTAACTCCTTTTTTCTCTCCATTTTTGTTTAAAATATTATGCTAAAGGCAGCCTCATTTAATTTATCTAGAAATTGGTGAGAGAGGTATTATCAACTCCCATTTTACAGGTGAAGAAACTAAGGCAAAGCAACTCTGAGCTAATCACAGTGCAAGTAAATGTCAGCATTCAAACATCAGAATTCAAACCCTGGCCTGTCTTTGCAGTGCCCTTGCTGTTAATCACTGATTCACATTGTACAATGATTAGCAAGTGTGGGTTTCATTTTCTTAATAAATAAGAAGGATTGGAGCAGATAATTTTTAAAATGATTTCTTAAATACTTTGATGCCAGATAGTCTTCACATGCCTCAGTGAATAGACACCAAGAATGCAGAATTATTGAGGCATTTAAAACTAAAGTGACTGTTGATCTATCACTTTGAAGAAAAAAATATATATGTGTGAATATGTGTATACAAAATCTCAATAGAGAATATACTTACCCGGATATAATTTTAGCTGAAGTAAATGACAGCAAATTCCTTTGTTTTAAAGCTTTTGTGTTTCAATGTTTTTAAAGCATTAATTATAGTTTTGTATCATTTTGACATTATTGATTCTCCTAAGAAAAGTACCTAAGAATCACCTTAAGGCCTACTTTAAAAATTGGATTATTGGGTCATGTCCCCAAAGATTCTCATTTGGGAGGCCATATTGAGGCCTCAGTGGGTCTTGCTGGGTCCTCCAGGCTGGTGTATAGTGGTACAATCATAACTCACTGTAGCCTCAAACTCTTGGGCTCAAGCAATCCTCCTGCCTCTCTGGGATTACAGGCCTACTATTGTCTTAAAATCGCAAACTTTCTAAGCTAAAGAGATGCTTTTGGGAAAAAGAAAAGAAAAGAAAAAAAAAAAAGAAAGAAAACTCATTCCGTTGAGAATGGATTTCAAACTTGTGATTTTTAAATCAGGGAGCACTTTAGTTCCGGCCTGTTCACAGGCTCCGGGAGGGGGCATGGATCACAACTGCTTAGTGATGAGTTTGCTGCCCTGCAATATGATCACATGGGCATTGTTTGCGTTCATGACTGCTAAGGACAACCTTTTCTGTTTGAACATGCTTTCACCTGGAGTTGATAGGGGCTTGCGTGCTTGTGTTCCAGGCTGAGCAGCTGGGGCTGGCGGGCGCAGACAGCGACGAGGACCCTTCAGGGGCGGTGACAGGAAGGGCTTTGAACGTGAGTACTGACTGACACCCCAGCAGGCGCCTCTGCTGACTGACCGGACCTTCTCTCTTCTTTGTACCACCTTCCGAGTCATGAAATTACAGATTAGTTTGTCGCAATCTAGATAGATTGAAAAGCTGCATGTAGCTTCCTTTTAGCTGACTGCACTACTTATGCAGCATGTGTGATATTTTAGTTTCTGTCACTCCTTTTCTCTTTACCAGTAAATGACCTGTGCTCTCACCTTTCACAGAGGGTGCCTATGGAGTTTCTATGGTTTTAAATACTTTAAAGAATGTAATTCATGACGTCTTGTAAATATTGACATTTTAAATGTATCTAATGTTGAATATTTACCATCACTTTTTAAAAATTACATGGGCAAACTCTTCTGTATCAGTAAGAAATTTTTCATTATCACTCTTTTTTCTCGACTTCACGTATCCATGCCAGTCCCCATGTAAAATTTTATTCTATTTAATATATATTTTATGTTTGAAAGTCTTTAATAAAGACTTGAAATAAAATATGATATAAAATAAAAATATCTCTCTAAATTATATTTTTTAATTTCATGTGATCATAAAGCTGTGAGTAGGAAAATATTCTTCTGGGCTGAATTGTCATAAAAATTGCAAAATAAATCAAAACAGTATAAATATTTTACAGCTGTTGACATATAATTGTTAAAAATGGAAAATAAATTTTTCTTGAAAAGACATTTTTAATAAGATGAAAGGCAATTTTTTTCTTTTATTCCGTATACTCACTGATGAACATGATACATTAACAAAACTAGAAAACTTTGACATTAACTCTCTGCCTTTTGCCATATTTATTGAAGTAAGCTCCCAAGAAATATTTTACATGAAAATATATAAAGATGGAAAATTATTTGTAGTTTTTCTAAATAACATGTCAAAAATCACAGTGATTTATCACCAAAAATTATTTTGAATGATCTTTTATACAGATAAAAGATCTTACCTAAATAGATTATGTTTCAAATTTGTCAGTGGCCAAAATTTGGGAGCCATCTGACTTGCAAGTGATTTGTTACTTAGTCACATTGAAGTTATTGACTTCTGGGAGGTATAAGAAATAAATGCTATATTAAGATTTATCAAATGACAATTATTAATACCACTCTTTTGCTCATAGGGGGTTTGGCAATGACTTTTTAAAAAAGTTTTTTTAAGTTTTGTTTTTAATTTATACTTAATTATATATATTAGGGGGTACAATGTGATGTTTGAATATATATTTACATATACCCAAATCAGGGCAATTAGCAAATCCATCACCTCAAATATTGTCATTTCTTTGTGGTGAAAACATTTGGAATTCTCTCTTCTAGTCATGTTGAAATATATAGCACATCATTGTCAGCTGTAGTCAGCTAGGGTTAGCTTGCTGTGCAAGGGAACACCAGATCTCTTCCTCCTGTCAACCGTCGCGCTGTGCCCATTGACCAGCCCCGTCCCACTCCCAGCCTCTGGTAACCACTCTTCTACTCTTTATTTCTGTGAAGTCAGCTTTTTTAGGTTTCACGTATGAGATCATGCAGTATTTGTCTGTGTCTTGCGTATTTCACTTAAGGTCATGTCCTCCAGGTTCATCCATGCTGTCACAAATGATAGGATTTCTTTCTTTTTTAAAGGCAGAATAATATTCCATTGTGTATATATACCACAGTGTCAATCAGGTTTTTGTTTTAGGGTTAAGTAAGTTGAATATAAAATTTACTTGGAAAAATAAGCAAGACTAGCCAGGAAAACCCCGACAAGCATGAGGGGTGGATAAGCCTTGCTAGTTTCTAAAATAGATTTTAACACCTGTATAATTAAAACAAATAAGTAGCTTAATAAAGGAGCATATGGAAATATGGTGTATAATATAGTCAACATGCCCAACCAGTGAAGGGAAATAAACTTGTAAGTGGAGTTGGAATCACTGAATAGCTCTAAAGAAAAAGATAAAAATTGTATATATTTTCATAGTGTACACTAGGAAAACAATAACAAGGATCAGAAATCTACATGTACAAATTGAAACCATGCAAGTACTAGTGGAAAATAGGAATGAATTCATCTATAAACTGAGAGTGGGGAATACTTTCCTGTGACTCAAAATCCACATATGACAAGGGAACATTGATAAATTTGACTTTAGGGAAAACAGTGAAAAATTTGATGTTTTCAAGAGGGATTGAAAAATCCCCTCTTGAAAAGGAAGGAAAGAAAGACATATTTATTCTATTTATATAGAATATATATACATACATTCTATATAAATATATTATATTTATTCTATTTATATATTCTATTCTATTTATTCATAATTAGAAATGTAAGTTAAACCTATAATAAGCTTCTATTTAGCATCTGTTAGATTGGCAAAAACTGGAAAGTTTGTCAGCACACCCTGTTCACTAAGCTGTGGTGCCCTTTGCGTTGCTAAGCAAAATGCAAAATGCTACATTTATGGTGGGGAATTTGACAATATCTGGCCAAATTATACATGCATTTGCTCTTTGACACAGAAATCTTACTTTTAGAAATCTGTCCCAAAGACTCCCTGGCAAAAATATAGAACAATTCATGTGTAATAAAAATGATGCATTGCAGCATTATTTGTAACAGCAAGCAATGAAAGCAGCCCACACACCCATCAGTAGGAGATTGACAAATTAAACTCTAGTACATCCACATGACTGAATGCTGTGAAAAGGAAGGAAGAAGTTTGTTATATACTGTTATGGAGTGTTTGTGAGGTTGTATTTCTTCCTTTTTAAAAAATTAATACTGATTTTTACTGTAAATCAAAGTCAATAAATGAAACTTCAATATGACAGGTTTATAACTGGCTTAAAAATAAGAATTACTGGGTTTCAAGCCCTAGGCAGGGCAGGGCTTAGTAAAATAATGATGGCTGCTGCTCCATTCCTGTCCGTTCTAGGTACTGTGCTGAGTTATGTGCTCTCATTTTGTCTTCCTTATATAGACACAGAAAATTCCCACCTCCAGAGGTCAATTGCTACATCACATTTGTTGATGTCCGTTTATTTATGTTTGATATGATCCTCTCTTCCATCAAGCCATGTTGATGATACAGTGTTTCAGCACCTTGACACTGTTTTTAAATATTTCCCCAAGGCTTTGACTTTTCTGGTCTGCAGGTTTTGATGCCAGTGCTTCCTTAATCTTACCAGAAAGTTGATGGATCCCCTTAGCAGGCACGAGTCACACAGTCCTCTTGTTGCTTTGAACGTCCTCTACTTTGAGGGATTTGCCGTGAAGCCTTCCGGTGGCTGCACCGGGTGGACTGTGAGCGGCACTCCTTTTGTGTGGCGCATGCAGTGATAATGTGTGACCCAGCCCAGTCTCTTTGTGAATTTCTTCCTTCCTTCTGTCCCTTAGTGCTGGGCTTTGCTTTGCAAGAAAACAGTGCAAGGACCAGCACGTGCCTCCCGGGTGCTCCCTCTGCTGGCGCATCTGTGCCTTTGTGCAAAGGATGGCTCTTCTCAGCCCCAAGTCCTAGAGGCGTCTCTGAGGAGCCCAGTGCTAGCCCGGTGGAGGCTGAGTACAGGTCTAAGCCACTGGGGTGTGAAAGCTGGGCTTCCTGTTCCCACCCAGCAGGTGGCACCTGTCTGTCTGCACTTTCCTCACCTAAGCAGGTGGTAGGTGCATCGCAAGGGGTATCAATGCCATAGCTCACCTTACGCCCAGAGCAAGCGTTCTGAAGCTGAGTAAACGTGGCCAGAACTCTACTATGATGTTTGCAGATATTATTTATTATTTTTTCTTGAGAAAATTTAAGTGGTTCACCATATCTATAACCTAAAGAGTCTGTGAGAATAGAATTAAATTTAAAAAGATGTGTACCCTAATGTAGCTGATCAACATAATTAGACCTATCCTAGAGGAGTTAATTTCATGGAAACTGAAGTTGACTCTATTCCAAAATATATCTTCATTTTCTTAATCAAAAGATGCTTGAATCATTGTGTATAGACTCACCTTTCAAATAACTTTAAGTAGTTTTCCTGGAATTACATTTTCCAGAAAAGTCTTCCTTACGCATTTATCCATGAAGGGCAGCATGCCTCAGGATTGTAAATGGGGCTGCCATGGCCGTGCCCCAGGGCTCTGGCTTCGTGGAGGACATGGTCAGTGTTTGCTTTCCCCAGACTCAGCCTGTGGATGGTCACAGCGTGGAGCAGATTACACCACAGTCGCCTCGTCCCATACGTCTGGACACGGAGACCTGGAAGCCATGGGGTCTGTCAGGGATGCCTGTTTCGTCTCTGTCTCCTAAGTCACAGGAGCAGGAGTTATAAGCTATGCACGTTGATGCAATGAGGTATCAGAGTTAATTTCTAATTCAGCACCCCAAGATGCAAAACAAAACATAAAACCAACTAACCAACCAAAAATAAGTATGTATCAGGCTGGAAAAAGTAGAATGTTCTGACATAGGCATGACATGACCCAAGTTCTAATCCTGGTTCCGTCATTCACTGTGGAACTTTGGGCAAGTCATAGTCCGCCTTTCTCCGTAGAATGAACAGCTCAAAGTAATTAACTTTTTATGGGCCCTTGGTTAAAAAAAGAAAAAAGGCAAATTCTATATATTTGATTAATCTAAAGTTTATTAATATGTGCTTTATCAGATACTGTTTCATTGCTTGCTACCATAAGCTTAAAGTCTTTGGTGAATTTTTTTTTTTAAATAACTGCCTCACAAAACAAACAAAAAACTATCTGGAGACAGTTTGTCCATTTGCCCTGTTCAGGCAGTGAGGGGACTAGTTGGTCATCATAGTATTGGCTTCTCAGGATGGAAGGAGTCCTCACTGTGTTTTGGAGTGATTTCCATATCAAAAACCCTAATAAAGTTTCTGGAATCCAGGTTGAAGTGTTCCCCACAGAGTATCTGGCTCTGATGGAGGCTGCGGCAGTCCTGGGGTTAAGCATTCAGGAGCCCAGAAATTTACTGAAGCCCACCAGTATGATGACACTTTCATAAAAAGTCATCAAACGCTACAGTGTAAAGGAAATTCCATAATTTTAGCTGCACAGGGGCCCATGCTCACCAGAGAGCCCGTATTTCTACCCAGCTGGCACAGGTCTCTGGGAGTCAGAATTTGCAAATGCTGTGCAGAAGCCTGTGTGGCGCTGGCTCCACCACAGGGTGGCAGTGTTGTCACAGGGACAGCGAATCCCAAGGTGCTCCATCGTCCTGGCCTGGAAAAGCTCAAATCCGTTCTTTCTGGCATGTTCAGAAATCGAGAACACGAAAATATGTCCCGAGGGCTAAGCCACGTGCTTGTGATGTAGAACTAATTTTTGTTACAAATCAGTTTTGTAGAGATTTATAAAAGTCTTTTATGTTCGAAATTATAAAATAGCGTAGGTCAAATTTAAAGAGTGGAGGAGGAGAATCACCTGGACGCTTACAGGCTAACAGCGTTTGTCAGTCTGCGTGTGCTCTTGAGCCGCGTGTGCATCCGTGCTCTGCATGATGACAGCTAAGGTAAACATAGAGTTTTGTGTGTCTTTTTTTTCCTTTAGCATCATGTCATTTACAATTTGCCTGATCTCTTCATAGTTCTTTTAAAGGCTGCATGATTTTCCATGAAAAGGGGAACGTGTGGCCTTGTTTTTGTGTGCTCGAATTTGGATTCTGACCTAGCCACGTACAACTCTGTGGGCCTGTGTGTGCAGTGGGCTCGTGGTCACCCACCCCGCGTTCCGTGAGTGTGCAGGGAGAGCGAGGGATGCCACGCACAGGGGCGCGCACAGCACTCATAAGGGCTGTGTCTCTCCCTAGCACGTGTTGCTTCTTTTTTTCCGGTATAAATAATGTGACAGTTACCTTTATCCCAAAAACCTATTATCATTTGGGAGACCTGCAAAGGTATTAGTGAATCAAAAGGCATGACAATTTTATGGCATTGCCACACCGTTTCCCTGAATAACTGTGCCAGCCAGCAACAAACAACAGTACCTTGTTATGGCCAGTCAGTTTCCCATTTCTGATCCAGTGCCTTGTGTATACAACTCCTATCAGATAGTGTAAAGGAAGTTGAATTTAATATGTAATTTAGAAAAGTTATCCTAAGTTTCCTTGCATACATGTTTGGCCATTAAAAGTGTTTTTAAAATACTCATAATGTTCTGTAATGCAAACCTGGAAACTATCAGAGGAGGGTTTTGTTTTTAAAGCTTTGGTGATTTTTTTTCTCAAAGTATTTGATTCTTACAATGGGAATAATATAAGTAGAGCCTGACAAGTAGACTAACAGTGCCTATTGCCAATACTAGTTCTCATACTGAAAATAAGAAATGCAGATTTTTGAATCGCTTGCCTGAAAATGTGATGTTTGTAGGGATATTGGTAGTAGAATATGTTTCTTTCAAATGCTGATTGTTTGATTTTCATTTAAAACATGAGTATCTGTTATTTCTAATGTCTAAATTCCCTTTATGGCCTTCTCCTGGCCCTTTGGCAGACAAGTATGAAACTATAAACTTTCACTTGGCTGCACGTGGGTTGCTCAGGTTGTTCCAGGGCGGGAGCATAGTGGGGGCCAGGGGCAGCTCTCGGCTGCTGGCAGCTTTCCCGTCTGAGGAATGGCAGCCCTGCCAGCAGCGGCAGAGGCTGAGACCCTGGGGTCGGTCCTCTCCCACTCCATCCGCACTCACCGGCAAACGGCGCTTGCCACCCGGGCGATGCCCCACAGCCTCTCCTGACCTGCTCTGGTCCCGCTGTCCCCTTGGCCTCGGGCCGGGGCTGGCAGGAGGCGTGCCCTGCGCCTGGCTCTCCCTGGGCGCCAGAGCTCTGGGGGCAGCCCCCGCGGCCCTGCCTCTCCCCATGGCGCCTCCTCCATGCTTTAGACACACTTTCTGGTGTCTTGGTCCAGACTTTTAAAAAACGAACTGGATGGTGAGGCGTGGCGCCCTGCGCTGTGGCTGTCCACTGGACGCGTCCCTTCATGGTTTGCGGCACCCTCCCTCCACACTGTCTCACAACGGCTGCCCGGCGCCCACGCCCCTGGCTGCCTTGTGCCAGCCTGCGGCCACGTTTCCACACCCTCCCCCAGGACGTCCAGAGCCACCCGCACGAGGTCCGCATTCGTGTCCCCGATGTTCCAGTGATCTCTCCATGGTAACAGATAAAAATAACACATTTCATTTAGAACGATCATTTTCTGCCTTTTGGCTCTTAGGCTGGCTTGCTTTTCCAGTTTCTCCTGGCCTCGTGGGGCGGGGTGGGAGGCAGGGGAATGCGTCTGGGGCTGGGCTTGAACGCAGTGCGCTCTGGGCCCCGTGCGCAGGACTCCGGACTCATGGTGGCCTGTGCCCCAGCCTGCCCCCCCGGGGACAGGAACCCCTTTGAAGCCTCTGGTGCTCCCTGTTCTCTCCTCGCACGTGTGGCCTTTGCTCGCTTTTCCCAGCCCAAGTCATAGTTTCTTGATTTCTCCATCTTAACCACTCAGGACCAGCGTCAACTATAGTCGACAGCCACAGATGAACGCGCACAGCGACTTTAGCCAACAGCCATGATACGACTTTTCTAATTTTTCCTTTATCAAAATAAAATTGTGAACATTTAAACATAACGTAACGAAAACATGTATGTATATGTTACCTATTCTGATTGACGTTACAAGTAAAGCTGCCTGTAAAGCAAAACAAGCTTTCAGTGCTTTCAAGCTTTCCTCATCACACACGAGCAAAACGGACCCGTCGTCAATGCGCAGCGCACGCCACCGTGCGGCCTGTGAGTGCCGGCTGTGGGCGAGGTTTTGTGGCTGACGAGCACCGTACTGAAGTGGTTAAATATGTCCCACGTATAACTGTAGTTCTTCCTTTTCCTGCCTGTCCAGCAGTGGTTGCAGGCTGGGCTCTGCATGAGCTGGTCTCTACCCCGCTTGCCACCCCTCCCCCTCCAGCCTCGAGCTTCACAAAGACTGCACCTGTTTGAAAAAAGGAGGGTCCCTTCTCCTTATCAAAATTTTTGCATAGTTGCAATTCCTAGTATATTGCAGAATAAAATACTCACTTATCAATCATCTGCAAGTAACAAATGTTAAAGTTTAGGCAAATTTGCTTTCATATCTTAATTTGGTAATTTCCTAAGAAACTTAGCAAGCACAGATGATGCTACATCACGAACCCAATGTGACCCGCTCTTTCCTTCATTCCTCAGGCGTAGCAACTCTTTTGAAGGTTTTATATTTTAAGAAATATAGTGAAAGTGTGTATGTCTATAAACAATACACATTGTTTTTTGTATGTTTTAATAATATATATAATGGTTTATTTTGTTTAATTGAAAAATATTGCATATATATATGGTATACACATTGTGAAATAGGTAAATCAAGCTAATTAACCTATCCATTTGCTCACTTATTTTTTTGTGTGTGTGGCAACAATGTTTAGAATCTACTGTCCTGGCAATTTCCAAGTATACAATATGTTGTTATTAACAATAGTCACCATGTTGTACGGTAAATAGATCTCATGAAATAATGATTTATTTTCTAAAGCCTGAATCTTGAATCATATAATAAGAACAGTAAATGTTGAAGGAAAAAGGAAAAAGTAGACAAGGAAAGAAAGAAGGAAGAAGGAAAAAGAAAATAGAAGAAAAGAAAGAAAAGAACAGAGTGTCTCCTCTAAAATTAACAAGTTACACAGAGACCCCCTCCTCTCCTTCCTGCCCCCTGTCCCACCCCTGTGCCCCTCACTGGGCCAACTGAATCTGTTCTGTAGGAGGTGACACTGGGGACACAGAGGAGCCAGGCCAAGCTCCTGGACTCAGGAGAGACACACACCATGGAGCCCCTCGCCCAGGTACTCAGCCCCAGGTGCACAGGCATTTCCAGGGGCCTTGTTAAAATGCTGATTCAAGGGATCCAGGCAGGTGAGGCTGAAGCTGCAGAGAACCAAGGCCAGAGACCCTGGTGATGGGGTAGAGTCAGAGGAGTGGATGACTGTCCTTGTGATAAAGGATGAGGAAGGTCCCTGCAGGGAAGGTTCAGCCTCAGGGAAGCTTCAGACACTGTTGGTTCTTTCTCTGAGAGGGAACTCTGGCTGGAGGGGTGTCTGTGCTTCTCATTTAATTACAAAATAGTTTAAAGGGGAGAGGGAGGAGGGAAGGGTTAAGAATTAAAAGCTCCAGTTCTTCAGCAGCCCTATTTTGTGATTTGCAAGTGCACCTCAACTATGTCCATGGTGTGTGTGCACACGTGTGTGCGTGTGAGTGCAGGGCAGTTTCTATGGCCCTACATCGGGAACATGTCTATCTAGAAATAGACTGAACAAATGACTTATTACTTCCCAATATTTGACCCTCAATCTGGGGTGAGAAGGATCAGAGAATTCTTTTATTTGCTTGGCTTGGAATGTTTGCTGCCCCAGATGATATATTCTGGATCTATAATTACACAGTGAGTATAACTCCTTTAAACCACAGCCTCCAATAAAGCCAAATACTTCTGGGTGACACTTCCTGCTGGATGACCCCCCCCCCCCCCCCGGGACTCTGATGTCTCATCTTGGAGGTAAAACTCAGATGAGCTTTCAGGAAGGGACATTTCAGAAGTGTTGGCACTGAGTTTCATACTGAGATAATTTTATAGACTTGGACAGTAACTACTGCCTGTACATTATGGGAAGATAAAAAAGGAAGAAAAACCAAGAAAGATCAAAAGGTAAGGAAGGAATTCTTCTGCCTTCTGGGCTTTCAAATAGTATTTATATATTTTATGTGTATGTGTATTTGGCTGAACTACAGAAATACCTATTTAGTGATATTTCCTAAGTGGATTGTCTTCGATATTTATTTTTTTTTAGCACAATAGATTTCTATTCTATATTGTCCAAATGATTTTCTAGCTTATAGTAAAAAAATAAGCAAATTATAAATGCAGATGGTTGTGAAGCTTATTTCTTTGAAAATACAATCGTTTACAGAAAAAAATGATTTAATTTGCATTTGAATTTCCTTGATCTCTCTCTTGGTGTGCTATGAATTCCGTTTTCATGGAGATTGGCAGAAGTGAATGTTGGCATTTTCATTACTGAGGATGGAGGCTCTTGTCCATAGAAATCGTTATAATGAGATCTAGAATAGATGCTTCAGGTCAATTCTAAACAATTCAGATAGTATGACTTAAGTATTACTGAGAAGATAATGTTTCTCTATTGAGGTTCCATTAAGCTAAAGGTTTACTGATTTGGATCCAACTGTTTGACACATTCTACCCCATAGGTATCCACTTTCTGAGTGGTCCTTTATTTACAGTGAGGGGGGGTTGAAATCTGTAGAAATGAGGCAAAGGGTACACGGCCTATTTACTATGCACTGTGCAGACTTTTTTTATTACCAAATAAAACTTGTTATTTTTCTAGATGTTGTGTGGTGTATGATACTGGCAAAGAGTGGTTCCTAACACTGTTTCCGACATCTAAGCTGCTTTGGCTGT